GCGCGCGCGCGACCGCAAACACAAGCACACACTGCACAGAGGCCACATACGAAGGGAAGAGGGTGGGAGAAGACAGAGGGGGCTGCTCTGCTGTCAATCAGTGGGAAGCGGGGGCGGGGGTGCAACAAAGAGAATTGAGGTGAGAAGTTCCAATTCTCGTGGACGTAAAACAAAGAGAGACCTGAGGATGGAAATCGAGATGTGTTTTGAAAAAACAAAAAAGACAAAGGCATCTGTTATAATTTGAACCATGAAAGGAAAAAAAAAAAAAAATGGAACCATGCGTAGAGAAGATTCGCATGTCATCAGACCTGAGATACTGGCCACGCACAAGTCGGAAAAAAAGACAAAATTGAAAAAAAAAGAAAAAGGAGAAATGGTCCGTTTTTGTCCGCAGGAACAAAGGAGAAAAACGAAGGGGACGAACACCTGCGAAAGTTCATAAGCTATAATATCCTCACCAGACCAATCATCATCACCATCCTCATCATCATCACCATCCTCCTCCTCATCATCAATCATTGTCATCATCATCAACAACAAACTTTTCTCGAAGCCAGCCGTCATCATCACCATCAGCATCATCAAATCGTTTTTCAACAGCTGGCAATCACCGATATCCATCACCATCATCGTCATCACATCCTTTCTCTACAGGTAGCCTCCATCATCCTCATCATCATCATCATCACCCACCCTGTCTACAAGTACCCATCATCATCATCATCATCATCATCATCATTGCCGTCATAACTTTCTGTACAGGTAGCCATCATTATCATCCTCATCATCATCGTCATCATCGTCATCATAATCAATCATCGTCATCATCACCATCATGATCATCTGTAAGATGCCTCAGCTGAGGGGCGCGGCATAGCCATCACCATCTTCATCGCTGTCACCATCACCATCTCCATGAATCCATCCCATCCAGTGGCTGCAAGGTGTGGCATAGCCATACCCGTGCACTTAACCGTCTATCCATCCATCCAGCAGCTGCAGGGTGTGACATCGTCATCACCATCGTTATCACAATCGCCGTCACCATCGCCATCGCCATCGCCATCACCATCACCATCACCATCGCCATCATCATCGCCACGGCATTCACCCATTTGAAGGCATTTTTAGACCGAATTTGATCGCAATTAAGACCAGGTTCAGACAAGAAAGTCATAGTCTGACTGCGCATCAGTTTTTTTAATCTATCTTTGCTCAATTCATTAATCGAGTGATGTATCAATTCATTAATCGAGTGATGTGTCAATTCATTAATCGAGTGATGTGTCAATTCATTAATCGAGTGATGTAAAGATGTTAGTCCATCCATCCATCCATCTATTCATCCATCCATCCATCCATCCATCAATCAATCAATCAATCAATCAATCAATCAATCAAACGAGTAGCCAATTGATTGACGATGGATTGATTGTTTGGCAAATTGGACGCGATTGGGAAAAGAAAAGAAAAAAAAAAAAGATTCGAGTCCTGCATTGTTGTCCAATTGTTTTCATTTCAAGAAGGGGAAAAAAAAGAAAAAGGTGCACATACCCTCTCAGCGTCTCCTCGTCACAGAACAGCTGACTGCTAACACCAGACTCTGCATCTACCGCTGCAGTTGGGACGCGGGCCATGTTGAGATCCCAATACATGCATAACAAATTAACAAACAAGATAAGACAAGAGAAGACAAGAAGCGCATCAACAGCTGCAGCATATGATGTAAGGGAAGCTGGGGGCTGGGCCCACTTCCCAGCTTATAATTGAATGAAGTCAAAAGACAGAGAGAGAGAGAGAGAGAGAATGAAAAAGAAGTTAAAAAAAGGGGAAAAAGAAGGAACGAAGAAGAAGAAGCACGTCGAGTACAAAAAACTCAGGCTACTTGGCTTGCCCGGCCGTCCAACCTGGGCAAGTCGCCCCGGGGGTCACCTGCGTGAAGGGGGAAATCAGCCCTTTTCTCTGGAGCAAAAATCAGCCCCTTTTTTTTTTGTGTGTGTGCGAGGGTTTTCGGCGCATGTGCAGAGGAGCCCAAGTCCAGGCTCCTTTTTTCGAGTGTTGGCTGTCAAGGGGAGAGGTGGAAAGGGGATAAAAATTGGTTTTTAAGGGGCTAAAGGGGATTTGGGGGGGGGGGGGGGGACCTACTCTACGATTCTCCGAGGAGTTCGGATGTGATCCTCAGCAAAATGTCGTTTGTGTTGCAATTTCACAGAACATTTTTTCTTTCTGGTGCTAAAGGGGCTAAAGGGCGAGATTGTGGGCTCGATCTCTATCTTTATCGTCAAATATATATAGATATTGTCACAAGAATATCAGAGCGCAAATGCAAAAAAAAAGAAAGAAAAAAAGAAAGAAAAACAGGAAAAAATGAATTCAGTTTTTAATCTTCTTCCTTATATAAATATATATATTCTCACATGATATCAATATATATATATCGTCATGATATCAATATATATTATATATAATATATATCGTCACATGAATATCATATATATCGTCACATGAATATGAGATCGCAAAGGCGGAAAAAACAGAAGAAAACAAGAAAAAAATAATTCGTTTTTATATCTTCTTCCTTACAACTGCCCCTGTTGAGAACCTCTTCCGTACAAGGCCGGCCACGTGGATGTAGGTTGAGCGGCGGCTGCCCCCAACCCCGTGTGTCATATCGACCCACTTGCACACAGCCAGAAGGCAAAGAGGCAAAGAAGAGAGGAAGGGAACAGCCAAATAAATCAGAACAGGGGGCAACAAAACAGATCCCAGATGACAAGTCCCACATGCAAGCACCGCGCTTGCCCACAGGCCAAACGACGGGACAAGACCAACCAGGATGTCAAAACATTCTTGTCTGCAAAGAACTTAAAAAAAAAACAAAAATAATCCATCCCGGATGACGCTTCCCACATACAAGCAGCGCCCCGCGTTTCAGAAGGCCGAACAACGGGAAGCAACCAACCAGGATGCCAAGACAATAAAAAAAAAACCCTGATGACTGGTCCCACATGAAGCACCGCTGCCTGCTGCAAAAATAGACCTCAAACATCATTTTTCATCGTCTTCCTTACAACTCCCCCTG